TTAGCAAACAGCCGACATTTTATGCCCAAAAATAGAAATGATCTGGAAAAGGTTAAGGATTCTGTTAGCTTGTAGTCAAAGTCAAAAGTTATGCAGTATTTACCCTGAGACGGAGACATTCGGATAATAGTACGAGCAGTAGGTAAATGCCAGCGTTTGCAAAGCCGTTGACAGCTCCCACGTTCGAGAATTGGTTACAAGCAAACTGATATTGGGATCGAATCATCGGCACATACCAATGCCAATTTTCCATCGAAACGAATGAACTGCCAAGAGTTTGATTGTTCTATCAGCGGAGTCAAACCCTTTGCCTACTGCACGAAAATAGTGCTTTGCAGAGCCGTGCGCGCCGGCCAGTTTGTATTGATGGTCTAAATATTCGCCAGTATCTTTTTATCCATTTCACAAATAAGCACATTGAAGGCGTTTCTTCAAAATATCAAAAAATTAAATTAAACTTCCCCGTTCTCAAAATCGTAGACCGTGCCATGGCCCCGAACTACTGATAGCATCTTTCAGAAACGGTAACGAACCAGATCAGAATGATTGCGTCCTGCGCAAACGACGATATAACGAGCCACGACGACGCGTGCCTTGCACATACTGACCACCCCAAGAGCGATTGTGATAACGCGAACGGCGTGTGCTTCTCGCATTTCCGAACAGCCGGTCGTAAAGCGTTAGCAACTCATCCAATTCATATTCACCTCTCTCGTAACGCCTTATGTCACTGGCATCCAATAGTCCATAGCTGCGGGCTAATTGCAGTATTTCGTGCCAGGATATACAATAACCCTCGGATGCCGAATCTTCATCACTGGGATGCGCATATTCGCTCAGATTCTCATTATTCACCAGCAGTTCGCGCTGAATTGTCTTTGTTATTAGATTTAGCACATTTGCTGCAAGCATACTTGTGCCTGGCTGTGCTTTTGCCGAATGCTGCTCAGCGTTTTCGTTTAAAATTACAAAAAGTGCTCTTGCTTTTGTGAATAAGGGATTGAATTGTATTTCAGAGCATTCATGTGACGTTATTGCTTTAAATACATTACACTCTTACACTTACATTTACTTTACAAAACGCCTCTTCTTTGCTTCCAAAAAAGTTGAATTTTTCTGGTGAGTGAAACTTTTAGACAGCTTAATGGGAATGAATCCATCACTGGATTTGCTCCTGAAGTTACTCCCGCAAGCTTCCGCAATTCCATCACTGGATGGAATTGCGGAAACTTGTGGGAGTAACTTCAGGAGCAAATACGATAGTAAAAGAAAACAGTACTCGTATAAACTGTCGTTTTTACTTTACATTTTATCCACATCACCTTTTTATGCGATTTTGCCTGTATGCAAATTACAGAAACGCATATTTCGACAACACTGTCTGTGTGTGTGTGTTTGTGTGTTTATGTGTTCGTCTGTCCGGGAATTTCAACTCGGCAACTAAGCATGTTCCAGCACCGAGATTTTGCTAATGGGTACCCCGGCCAAGTATCACTCCAGAACCGCGGCACCAACCTCCACGTCGTCTGGGCCTCGCGTATGAGAGGGCGAAAGATTTGGAGGGAAAATTAATAACTCGGAAACGAGAAACGATAGAAGGCTGAAATTTTGAGGTTATATTCCTCGTCCAGATATAACTCAAAGGTTTCAAATTCAACCCCCAGGTATGCGTGGCTCTCGCATACGGCCCCGTGGAATTTTTTAGCGGGAAAATGGCCAACTCAGGAATTAGCAAGGCCGGGAGGCTGAAATTCCCAGGAAATGTTTCCAGCCCATGTACGATTTAAAGTTATCAAATTCAGCCCCAAAGCACGTGCGGTTCTCACGTACTGCCCCGTGGAATTTTTTTGGCGGGAAAATGGCGCCGTGTGCGGGCACTCGCCATATGACTGAATAGAAACGCCAGAATCACTCCCTCTACAAAGACACAATCGCCATAACGCTACGGATATCAAAATCACAAGCAAACTGCAAAAGACAAACATCCGACGCCTAACCACCGCACACCTCAGACCGCACCACACGAGCAACAGCACGCCACGCAGAGCGGCCTCGGTTCCGACAAAAATCGATCACGGCACCTCTAGCAATCACGTGTGCTGGAGCAATTCTAATATTAGGTAGCGGGAGTTTTTTGTTCACTGCATACGGTGATTAACCTGCAATTACAAAAACTCGGCTCGGCTCGGCTCGGCTCGTCTCATACACAAGCCGCAAAAAATTTTTCCTCTCAACGGCAGGTAGGGCTGCCTCACGGTGGATGGCGGCAGTTTGAATGTGACAGGTGGAAGTAGGCCTGGGATGTGGCGGGTTTCATTTGAGGCAGAGGGGGGAGGGGGCGAGGATAGGCGGATATAAGGACTAAATGGCGTAAATCCTTTGCTGATTGACTAAGTAACGTACATTTGAGAGGAGAGGGGAGAGGTAAAAAAGGGAAAGGATGAGGAAGTGTGCTCCTGGGACTTCTGTTTTTATGAAACTGATGCTTAGATACAGCTGTTCCACAAAAACCCGTCATTAGGCTTCCCTATCTATGAAACTGATGCTTAGATAAAGCTGAAAGCGAATAAGTTCCATGAAATGGGCAAAAACAGGGTAGAATGGATGCCTGGGGATGAAGTCAGCCTTTGCTCTTGTTGGATTTTTGGAGCAAAAAAACAAAGGTATTACTGTTATGCAAGTTGCAGGCTGCAAGAGGCAACACTTTGGAATTGTCTGCAATTCTTGTGTAATCCAGTTGAACCTACTTGCCCTCAGCTTCACCTAAGCATAAGCCTCAGTAAATCCTGTCGAACTTATTTGCCCTCAGCTTCACCTAAGCATAAATTTCAGCAAATCCTGTCAACTTTATTGCGTCCCATTGTCCTGGCCTCAGTCCTGCCCTCTGAGTTATATCTAGGCAACTACCAACCAATGCCCCCAACCACGTCCAGTCCTCCCACCCCATCACTCCCCAGCCACTTGATCCAGCCGCCAGACACTGGGCAGCGCTACCAAGCGCGTCTGGTAAAGTTCTAGCGAGCGGCGCCGCGAAATGGCGTTGGTAGAGATGATAGAGCAAAGCGCTGGAAGGTCCAAACACCATAGATCACCAGCCGAGCCGAGCGAAGTCATGCCAAGCCCGACTGAGCTTTTGTGTAGTAATTGCCGACTAATTATGCGTTTTTTGCAGTAATGCAATGCAAAAAACGCATATTGACGAGAGGTTGTCTGTGT